TTATGAAACTACTATGGATCTTCATCAAGTAACGGCCAAATCAATCAGAAAAAAAAGATGCATTACTATTGTCATAGCCATGAAAACTTAACTATGGAAAATTTACAGTGCTCTGCAACACTGTTCATCATAAAGTTACTTGTAAAAGTTACTCAATGAAGTGTTTGACATATAACAAATAGGAATAAAACCGAAATCATGATTACAATTCAATTCAAAATTTTTTAATGGCTCAATGGGCATGTTTCATATTCTTAATACTTGAGATTATTTATATGCCACTTGAGCATGCCCTCTCCTCCATCTTCTTTCGGTTTTTTAGTTCAGTACACCGTAGCCAATGTTTTCTTTATTACATTAAGGTAATATGTACTTCCAAGTATAGTTCTATAGAATTTCTCAATCTTGGTTTTTTACAATGTGGAAATGTCCGCTTTATATTACCCTACACTATTCGTAGTTTCAATTGGCAATAACTGAGTGTGGTTCCTTCTTCAAATAATGTAGTAGTCTGCTGTGAATATTTGAACAAGTTGCGAAGAAATCTCAGAGATTGATTTCAATCTTTGGCCATTAAAATTTCAGAAATTTCAAAGAGAAACCAACTTTCTGTTGGATGTAACGCTAAAAACTCCCTAAGTACAAAATAGATAACTGGCAACGCTGGTGATAGTTAGTTATAAGATAGAAATGTAACGGAGAGGTTGTATAAAAAAGCTTAAGAATGAATATTCATAAGTATGATCCAAGTGAATCCTTTTATTGAAATATAGATGTTACCAAAGAGGAATCAGTAAATTATTCATAAAACATAAAACTTTCATCACGATATTACCAATTTTTCAGTAAACTTATGAGTTTATGTTGATGCCTTGAGAAACTTGAGAATGAATGATTTAAATGCAACTAATTAGATCAGTCTTTCTTCTCGAAAACAGTCACTCCGCAAACGGTCCTTTCTTGTACAAAATTGGACAGTATTTTTGAGGAATTCATGAAAATAATTGAGCATCTATTGAATATTTTGGAGGTATATATTTCCTGATCTCCATTTATACACCACTGACTTTGCACCGTTAACATGTATCTCCACAAAATTAACGAGTATTTGTTTGAAGGTGGTTGACAATGTTTCGTGGTGCATTTCATTAGTTAGGACTTCCATTGTCTAATATGATATAAATTGATTTGAAATCCGTGAAAGAATCTGTAAAAAATTAAAAAGATCAGCTGAAAAATAATAATTTTATTAAGCAAAAAACTGAAATTACAATGAAGTAACATACAAGCAACAACCCAAAAAAATATTTACCAATCAATACGAGCTGAAAATTAAAAATTGAAAGAATAAGAGGTCAACTATGTGGCAGGATGCCACAGAACGATTTGAAGAAATGAGAAGAGAGACCTTGGGAGAGGATCATGGACCAATCTTTACAAAGATTGAAAGCACGTGCTTGAAGATCCGACAAGACATGGAGAATACCCACAACAGGAAGTGATGAAAGTTGGTGAGGAAACAATGCCTAAATGCAGAATGTAAACAGGACAACTATGAAGCCGCCAACGTCATCAACATGAGTTGACGCCCTCTCACGGACATATAGGAATCCTTGTTGAGGAAAGGTCTAAACTTCGCCATTGTACCAACATCTGTGCCCACTTTGGAAATAATAACTGGCAGATCGAGGCAGAAGAATTCAGATGAAAAATCAGAGAACAGCTAGATCGAGAACCAGTTCCAACATACAACATCAGCAATGAAGAACGAAGAGCCCTGAACGGGCAACGTTGAGACAACACCATCAAGATCTTACCTGCAGATAAGGGAAATGCTAGTGTAATACACGAAATACACGAAGATCGTAAGAGACTCTACTGCATCAATTGAAAGGAAGTTGTACCAGACTCTGAAAAAACACCAAGCCTATTTTTCGGAAAAAGAGAGATCATCGCTAACACCGCACCACAGTGAGCCCCCTCACTTGTATGGACTAGCCAAAATCCACAAGAAGGATGTTCCGCACAGAACGATCATTAACTCCAAAGTCCAGAAGTCCACAATGAATTGCCATTCTTAGACGTATTGGTGAAGAGGACCGACACTAAATGGGAAACATCTGTATATCTGAAATCCACTCACACGGGACATTATTTGAACAAGAAATCCAACCACCATCAGAGAGGAATCATCAAGACTCTATTAGACCGTGCGTTCGGGCTCTGTAATGAAAAAAAGGTAGTCTCGAAAAGGAACTAGGCATCATAGTCAGATCTCGGAGGAATGAGTCCAGTTATCACCCGAAGACGATTGTAGATAGTAACAATCGAAACGTCGAGAAGTAATTTGTTTTGGATTATTTTAATTTTCAATTACCATTTCTTTTTATTATTTTTTATTAATTTTCAGCTCGCGTTGAAATTTAATTTTTTTCAATCTTTTTGGTTGTAATTTCATTGTAATCATTGTAATTTCATTGTCATTTAAATTTTTCCTAAATAAAATTGTTATTTTTCAGCTAATCTTTTTAATTTTTTACAGATTCTTCCACGTATTTCAAATCAATTTATATCATATTAGACAATGGAAGTCTGAACTAATGAAATTAACGAAAATATACGAAATTTTATTTTACAGAAGGTTTCAAAATATGTACTTTTTCACTCCGGCTCTCAACATCCTGTACGTCTGAAACTAAGAAGTTTTGAACATATATTCACAAGAGTTTTTTATCAAACCTTATGACATGAATGACCGTACTTATCAGAAACAAACTGTAATTTTCACTTATTTTTCCTGATATTTGATTTTTCGACTGATAGTTTTACATTAGTTTCCATATCCGATTGTTTCAGTGAACACTTGATTCGAATGTAGCAATTACTTTGTTAATTTTTCAATTGTATATTTTTCTGAAGTCCTTACCTATAGTGGAGGTTTTCAATAAGACTCACACATGATTAGAGAAACCCGATTGGGTTGGAATAACTGATGTCTGGTATCTTATTTGGATTTTCTGTTATACTGGATTTTGACTTTATTCTCTTTTCTGAAAAAGCTTCACATCGTTATGTCCGCCGCTGTCTTGGAAATATACGGTTACATTACTGATATTAGTTCAGCTAATTTTTCTGTCTGTTTGCATATATATTTACAAGAACCTCTTTGTGAAACTTTTGATTCTACTCATATTTCACCTATAGTAAGTGTTCATACTTGAAAACTTGCTATGAGTCAAATAATCTGAAGGGTCAATTCGTTCAGGCCACTCTTTTCTTACACAATGCCCTTCGTAGTATTAGCCAGAGGAGTAGTGTTTATCTGATAGGTGTCATTTCATGAATCCACTGTGTAGATAAAGGAAGATTGGCTGAAGTAGTATGTCCACTTACTACAGGTGAATGTTATTTCCTTATTTGAGAATTTGGACCATTTGGATATGCGGTTGGTAAGTACGTCGTCTATAGGCAGAAGAAGCGATGGCTGGTTATTACCTCGTCTACAGGCAGAGGAATCGACGACAGATATGTTGCTTGTCTTTCGTTTCAGCTCTGTTCGAGGTAGGATACTACCTTACACTGAACGAGAGGCCGAATATCTCGAAACTGGTCTGCAAGTGTGCCCATCCCAATAATTGAAAATCGATTCTGTATCGCCAAAAGCATATGCAGGAATTACTTTTGTGAAGAATCCTGCACTGACATCTGTCGAATATAATTCAATGCCATTCGTGGTATTAGCCAGGGAAATAGTTGTTTTCTGATAGGTGTCAGTCCATGAACCTATAATGTAGGTAAGGGAAGACTGGCTTGAACGAATTGTCCCTTTTGATGATTTATTTGATTCTATTATCCCTCTCATTCCAACTGGCTGCCATCTGTCATCTCCACAATGATTGAGAGTTGTTGGACATCTGGAACATTCAAATGTATTGAATAGTTACCAATGATGGCATCAAGGACGCCTCTGAAAACTTACTAAGGATAATCACCAGGATTTTGCAGTAACTATCTAGTTTTCTCAAAGTTTGGTATCTGTGTATAGTCAGTAATGGTATATTCTCTGATACTTCTGGAATGAACGTTGTTTTGTTTCCATAAACAATCTTATCAAAATAACATCCAACTGACTCTACAATCGATCTATCTCAACAGCATTGAACAAAGCAGTCAATTCAAGGTTTTCAACGAGGATCTAGCAAAAGTAATGGAATGAAGATCTAATAATCTTCTGGAGTTCAGTATAACAGAAACAAATAGTTGTCTCTTTACCTGTTAAATCAGAAAAGCTACACCTCCTAACTGAATCATTGTTATTTATCAGTAGTACTCATGAGAAAAACATGTTGAAAGTATTGCCAGAAAAGCATGGCATTGCCTAACACCTTGTGAGAATTTATGAGGCCTAGATACGACCAGTTTTGTAAACTTATTCACATTCATAGGATTTAGTGGCCAAACACACTTTGAAACGCTCCCATTCAGCAGAGAAAAAGAAAAAAGATTCTTCTTTTGATATTGATAACTTCATAGTGATGCTCTTTGGTTATTTCCTTTACCCCTTCACTGCCTGCTCGTTAGATTAGAACGATATTCTTACCTGTGACGATTCGTCACGTCGTCATGTCTAGATCTACTGAACAACTGTACACAAAAAGCCTTTTCCTGTTCGAATTAGATTCGAATTAGAAAACTCTTAGTTAGATGAGGTTCCATCTAACAAGATTCCAGAATTTGCGGAATTCTCGGAAACCTTTTTCTCAACCTACATCCATTCCCTTCTCTCACAATAAACACTGCATGCTGTCTAATCTCGCGGAAATCAAGTATTGAAAAACAGGCAGTTCGTTTCCTGCTCAATAACATTCAAAAATAATACAGTGTCTCTTAGAGACCACCTCAGTATTTAGTCTTGTTGAAAGTCGACCCAATCTCTATCAGATTTTCTATCGAACTCTATAATCCTACACCATGGTGTCCTGCAATTGATCACAGTCCTGTCAAATAGCACTAATGTCCTCCAGAATGTCCTTTTCTGAGTTGACTCTCGTTTGTCTTACCGACTCGCAGCTCAAGTGCTCGCTGGAAAACTCTCCGAAAGAGCCATTTCTCCTCGCGTTCACCACAAGCGTTTTCGTTCCGTAGTCTGTGATGAATTTGTCGTTATTTAGGGAGACGGACTGGTAGCCACACTTGCACCAAGCCGGGTAGTGCGCTGTTAAAATTCGTTTGAACGCCTCCCGGAACTCGGTGTTGAAGATAGAGTATATGATGGGGTTGAAGGCTGAGTTTGAATAGCCCAGCCAAGTGAGGATCTTGAAGGTTATGTCCGGAATGCAGGTTTTACAGAAAGCTGCTACTATGTTGATGCAGAAGAAGGGTACCCAGCATATTAGGAATACACCCATTATGATACCTGGAAAAAAACGTTGGAGTTCAGTCAAGGTAGATTTCTAGTGATACGAGATATTGAGTTTGTGTGAGTTATTGATTTATGATATACATTTTGAACGAATTTATTTTTGAAAATAAAACAACTGCAAATCACTATTCTCCAGTATTTTACTGCTAATGGTCTGTCACTGGTACTGAATTGCTCTTTGAGTTGATACCAATCTGAATCTGATTTGCTTTCTATACGTTTGATTCGTGCAGAAGGCAGATCAGATGATTTTTTCTCCATTCACATTTAAGTTTGGAAGTTGTTTCATTTCCAGATGAGTGATAATTCGTATGAGTTTCAACAGTTTTAACAATACCGTCAACAGTCATTCACGATATACCAATTCGAACACACTTTAACAGTTCCTCTTGTTTTTTCAGTAGAATATGTGATATTATATATTGGAATGTGGTGTTACCTTATTAGTCATCATTATTGAGTTGCTCAAGTCAAGTTGAGTTGCCCATGAAAGTATCAAAGAAGAGAGGCAGCGTTAAGTCTTTACTCAATTTTCCAGGCTAACAAGGTTCATTGTGTTGTTTGTTTCACCGATCAGGTGGATCAATTTCTGTTCTCCAAGCCTTCAGCTTCAAAAGTATCAAAATCTGCTGTAGTGTGAGAATTTTCTGCTTTGAAATTCTAAGTTTCAGTACAGTGATTGTTTTAAGACATATTATTATGCATGATATCCAACAAATCAATCGATGCAGCAAGTAGAATTGTGGGTCTTCTAAGAAAACACTGGTGCTTGGTTTACTGAGCATGAAATTCTACTTGGTAACGGTCACCCCAAGTCGAAAATAAAATATCTTTGTGTCAATGTACATTGACATCTGATATTGAGGATCTCAATAGGTTCAGTAAATTAGATTTTTGTATTTACCAATTGTTTGTTGATATATAATGAAAGTGTGGATCTCCGGAAAACATCAGCATTGATGCTAGAACATGCAGGGAAGAACTATTAACAACTGTTTTGGAAAAGCTGTTTAGCCACGTTTTATTGAAACACTTGACATTATTTCCATTATCTTTTTGAAATTGTTTTGAATCAAATCTTCTGACCGAAGGGGTCTTTGTGATTCATCTTGCATTTTTTCACATGTTTCATAGGTGAATAGAAAATTCTCACAAACCTTTCATTATTTTTTGTATAACGTGGGTATCATAAGTCTTTCTCCTCATCTTCCTAGTATATTCAGGATATTTACCAGAACTTCAGAAGATTGTTTTTTCAAATATTGGTAAGCTTAATAGTTGTATTTTATTTTTCGGTTTTAGAATGGGTGCGATATCCAAAGAATTGCTATATCCAAAGAATTAATATGAATATAACTTCAACAAAAAAAACGTGAATTCCGAATGAGTTTTTGTGAGATGGAAACACCTGATTCACCTGTCCATAATTTTTGGATATAATTTTCTTCATCTCAGAGTCTGATTTGATGATTTGGTTTTATTGTTTCGACGTACTTGTTGTGATATTTAAAATTATTTTGCAAAATTTTTAGTGTTTGGAAAAAGACCTTAAAAAAATTTGAAACGTTCATTTTAGAAAATTAAGATTTTTTACATCTTTACCTTCGGAAAGATTTACTACGTTTTGATTATATTTTTGTCGAGAAACTCTATACTCACCTACAGTAATAGCAGCCTTGTGGTCACTGACGTGATATGGACTGCTGTGATGGTTTTGAAGGTGAATGTGGAGTGCTTTGTTCTTCTGTTTCATACTTTTTTTATTGGAAGTGGAATCTGGAAGATCTATTGGTCTGGTTATTGCTCTGATATTTTTCACGTGTTTTTGAGCGTAACAATACAATCGACAGTAAATACCTGTGGAAAAATGAAAATATGAGTAGAATGTATATACTAATATTTCCCCTATTACAAATTATTGTATTTATACGACATTATGATACTGATAATGCTCTATTTATTAGTCATTCCGATAATGAAAGATGAGATGAAAGTTATATTTTTACTGCATTGTGGATGAGATTCGCAAAGTTAAACTTTTGGTTGGATATATCAGTAAGTCAACAATCATACATTTGTCTGAATATGGTTCAATCCTAAAAAATGTATTCACATGAAAATTGATGAGAAAAATATCCGGAAAAAGTGCTTCACAATGTACTAAAAGAAATATCAACAAGAAATCCAACCAGCACATTATTTCTATTTTTGTGATTCTAGATAGACTCGTATAGCATTCGTTGAACTTTTTACATGTCCTGCTGATAATTTTATCACATTGTTCACAAATTAATAAGAACTTCGTTTGTATAAATTTGTTTCATCGTTTTGGAGGAGTGACGAAAATGTCAATATTATTAGTAGAATATCACAACGTTGAAGTCGAATGGTAATCATGGCCTGGTTACAAAATACCGAATGAGAATACCATTCTGATGGGATATTTTCACAAATGAATGCTCATTAGTTTGAAACTTGACTAGTTAGGTATACGCATGATATACATAGAAAAAAAGCAAATTTTATCAGCTTTCTGAATTTGTGAAGATACACAGAGTGTTCCATTTAAAATGGAACCCTGTATTGTAGTAACGGAGATTACGCTGGAGTGTGAGGAGCCTCTCTAACCTAACTTAACCTGACCTAACTCCAAACCAAATTTCGTTACCATAGTGTTGTAAATCATACCCTAAAGAAAATAACGCCGGCTGCCACTGGTAGCCATAATTCAATTGTGACGTAGCTAAGAGCGCGCGAATGTTCGATGTTCGCTGCCGTTCTAGATGTGGTGAGAATGATGCTACCGGCTTCGATGTAATCAGCGCCTTAGATTCCCAAATATAAGCGCCATTCATTCGCCCATCGAGACAGTCAAGTGGAAGTGACAGTGCGGTATACTAGCAACTAAATAAAATATAAGGAAGCACTGAAAACAAGTTCAATAATAGGGAGGGGGGCACAAAATGATGTGATAGCTAACTTCTTTTCCTCTAGCCTCTCGCTTTCATCCACCCCAAATTTATACCAGATAGCATATCTGAAAGCTCTTAAGAAATGATTTTCGACTGTACCCTACAAAGTTACATTCGATGAACCTAATTTTGGTTTATTCAATGTAACACTATTTATTCAAATTAACATTTTATTCCCTATCATTAATTTAGGAAATGTTTAAAAGCATTATTATTACCATCGTAAGACTCTTGAACATTTACGCATGTACTATTTTTGTTCATTTGTACCTGAAAAAAATTGACTTAGTTAATGAGTGAAGTTAACAAAAAAGGGGTGTTTGGAATATTTGTTTTTGAGGGGTATTTTTGTATTGCATTTTTTACTTGGAGACGGGAAACGATACTCTCATTATTGATACATTTTATTTTTATTTCTATACCTTGCACATGAGAAACATAATTTTTATCTGCGATAATGGTGTACAACACAGTTAAACGTGTGGAAATGATTTTTATGTAGGGTAGAGAAGATTACTGTTGTTAACAACAACAAACGTATTTAACCAGAGTCACGTGTACATTCGCCAACTAGCATTAAAATTTCAAGAAACTGGTACTGTCACAAATAAAATATTTGCTGTAGCGAAAATTGCACTTTTTATTTAAATGAGCACGCAAATGAACAAAACTATCGTTGCTGGAGTGACGAGAACCCACAAATATTTGGAGAAGAGCATACGCAATACCTCGAAAAAGTTAATCGAGATCTCTCGAACTTCGGATAGTTCATGAATTAGAAGATCAGAGAGACATACACCGCAATTTATCTTTAAAAGAAAATTTATTACATTTTCAACATGATGGGGCATCTCCTCATCATGTAGTTCCCGTTAGACAATGGTAAGATAATAATTATACTAATCAATGGATTGGAAGAAGAGGTTCTATTGATTAGCCTCCTAGATCCTCGGACCTATCTCCTCTTAATTTTTCCTCTGGGGCCACCTAAAATCTGTTGTTTTTGAGATGCAACCTGATTCAAAAGAGCAACTGCAGTGCTGTGATATAATACACAGCAATGCAAAATACGTCGTTTGTTCATATGCAACCAGCCCAGTCCAGTAATGTAACTTGAGGTCGGAGTCCGTTTTTAATACCGCATATCAGTCGGATGCAACAGTTTTGGAGTCTTTGTAGGAGAGTTCTATGGGAATTTTTGATAGCCGGCCCATAAACAACATCGCAGTAATTTTGACGGTATGTTTGTCAGGGATATTTGCACTTGTACCATAGATAAAGTTACTGTTTAGTACATTGAGATCACCAGTTAAACTATCCGGAATGAGAGACCTCTTACTACTAGTAGTGATGTTTAGATTTTTCAGTTCCTTCCATATGTTACTGCTAACGGGGGTGAGTTGGATTCGAATATATGCTTTTTTTTCAAGTTTGATTGCATAGTTTACCTCGTTACGCAAAGCTTTATAATATTCCCAATGGCGCTGCTCTCGAGATATTTTAAATCTATTATATGCATTATCGCATGTCCTCATCATCATTTTCAGAGTATTCGTGAGCCAAGGTGCCCTTTTTTTAGTGACTCTAGCGTTTCGCATCGGAGCATGGATATCAAACAAATTTAATATAATCTCACTGAACAAATTCACTTTCTCCTCAATATTATCAGTACGGAATATCTCTGAGAAATATGTGTGGAGCAAGTGATTTTCGAATAAATGTGGATCGAAATTTCTGAAATCACGATAAAAATGGACTGAGGGCTCGCGTTTAATTTTGACGGTGCCTACAGAGCAAGATATTAAAGCGTGATCGGTGAAGGTCGAACAGTCAGTAACTGTAATGGTATTAATTTTAAGTTCTTCGGATGATATAATAAGATCTAGCCTTCGACTCATGTATTTTTCTTTTTTCTGTTGGTTTTCTTTTCTTTTACACTCCTGTTGTTTGGACGATTGATCTCTGCCTTGCTCTCTGGACCTGTTTTGTTGATTATATGTTCGTATGTATAAACTTGATCATCAATTACCAGCTTTGTTCCTATTAATGATGCTTTCAGGTTTTTTGTGCGGGCAGCTTTAAGGTGTTCGAGTAAGAGTTTACGTTTCATATAATCGCCCTGAATATAGTCCTGCGAAATGCCTAATTAATTCAATTTCAGTTTCTCCACATGAAACTTAATGTTATTAAGTAAGAATTGTTCCAATGAGTAGTGAACCAAGAATGCCGAACTATTTCCAGAGAAACATTTGCCAATGTACGTTAAGAGTTTGAAAATAGACTCTATTATTGTCCTGAAAATGGAAATCATTTTGAACATTTCTTGAATTGATAAAAGAAAATGAAATTTTAACTTAATAAACCAGAAACTATTATATCGAATGCAGCTTTGTACTATATCATTGAAGAGCATTTTTTAAGTGCTTTTAGATAAGATATCACAAGTAGTGGGTTATCAATTGATACTATAAAGTTGGGGTAGCTAGAGGCAAGGGGTTAGTGAAAACAAATTAGCTTTCACATCATTTTTCCCCCTTTCTATTATGGAAGTTGTTTTCAGCGATTTCCTATATTTTATTTGATTGTTTAGATATATTCAACGTAAGTTTTAAAAATATCACTGTGTGTATACTAGAACACAGCCATAATTCGATATACTCAACAACAATAATAACGGCCACGCTTGGAAATAGTTACATCACTTTGAGTAAAAGAAGTGTATTCAACATTGGTGTGAATCAAAATTATTCTTTCGAAAATTATGACAGGTCACGCTTCGCAAAAATTTGAATTCCATTTATCTTTCTTTCGGGAAATGAATTCGAAAGTATACACCTGCAATGAAAACAATTTGGACGCTGAATAATGCAATTCAATCAGATTCTCGGGAAATGCCTATTTCTCAAAGAAACACGAATGTAATTTTAAGAAGACCAAGCAACATTTCTCAATTCAATATGAGTATGAATTGGCTGGCAGAGTTGAATTCTTCAGGTGGTAATCAGTGATCAGGGTTATTTTATTATTCAGCAATGTACTTGAATGATCTTTTTTGTTGAATATTTATTTTCAAACAAAGGATGTGGTAAAAAACAGAACAAGCCGTTCTCAGAAACTGCTTCAACATTCGACCATAATAACGATTTTGTTATAAACGTTCTGCTAGATTTAAAAATAATTTGGGAGTAAAAAAAAGCTTTCTGTCTTTCTATTTCTTCAAAAACTAATATTTTTTAAGGACAAAACACAAGCACAAGCGAAAGAAGAGATTCATATTGGATTTGAATCGCTGGAGATTAAATTCATTTGGAAAAACGTTGTCAGAAAGTTTAGTTCACATACACGCAGCTCTCCAAATGAAAGAGTTCTTGAGCAGTGAAGTTCGAGGTGTACTGAGCTGTACCTCAAGACGATGAGCAGCCACAGATTGTCGCGTGTGGGTGATATGTACCGCTTTTGGTGAAATCAAATGTGCCAAGTGACTTGAACATTTTCAGGGAAAGTATCTATAGAAGAGAGACAAATCCCTAACTGTTTTCGATGTTCCAGACTGTCACGGTTGCGAGTGATGTTCGCGTCTCCAAATTGGGCTGGCTCTTTTCTAAATGCAATCCAGCAGCTTCAGGGTATACTTAGGGCGGAGCTCATACATGAGAGCAATACTCCAAAGAATATCTGATCTTTGCTCCATAACGCATCAAAAGTTGCCGAGGTGCGTACAGTCTTCTGGTTTGGAACAGTGTTCCAAGCTTTTGAGAAGCAGCCTTTGTAATTCCAGCGACATGATTGTACCAATACATATTGGTGTTCATCCAATCCCCAACAAACTTATCGAAGCAGAAAGCGGAATTGTCTGTCCTGACATTATATCCGGTTCGGAGACATTGATCTTTTTGGAGAAAATCGGTGCCCGGGTTTTTGTGGCATTGAATTTGAAATCACTTCTAGATCCTCATTAAGATATGCAACCTCCTGCTGCCGGTGAAGATGTGCATCCGCAGCCGATGACATGGATTCCAAATGTAATGACGAGACAAGTGTGCTGCCGTCAGCAAAGCAATATATTGGATTCTTGTTTTTTCCAATGAGTCGTTGATATAGGTACAATAAAAAGAGGGTTGGAGACAATTTGGATCCCTGGGGAACACCAGCTTTGATGGTGATAATATTCGGGAGATATCCACCGACTGCCACTTGCAGGGAACGTTCTTTCAGGAAGCTGAAGAGCCGGAGAAAATCTCTTTTTTCAATTCGCGGAGTAAATCGCCTACAATTTGTCGAAGCAAATCTTCTAGCGGTGCTAATATGAGAGTCACTTTTTGAGTTTTCACAAAAAATAGCAAATATCTTCATTTCATTATTATTATTTCATAGATAGGTACTTATTTTTCCAAACTTCTAAGTAGCTACACCACTGAGGATGATAGTGTTTCATATAAGTGACATTTTATATCGATACTCGTTCGTATATCACATTGGGGAGAAGTGATTTTGTGTAATTCAATGTCGTTCAATATTCGTGTTATTCAATTCTCATCTGAAAGTAGTTGATTCCAAAGGGTTATCTTTCTTTAGTTTTCATCTGAAAGAAACTTCTATGTTCTATGTATACACTACGTATCTCTATAAAGAGTAAGTGTCTCACATTTTTCATTGTTCAACGATGTAGAAGAGGAAAGCCAGAAGGCTCATTTTATTTCTTACAAGATAATTTTACACGAGAACAGAAAAAATGCAGACACATACAGTGTGTGAAAGCCAAAGTCTGACAAATGGTTAGATTAACGGAAATACATAAAATATAAGGAACGATAAACAAAATAGAGAAGCAATTTCGCGAGCTTGGTCATGTGGGGCAGATAATAAAGCAGCTGCCAATGCTATATGTGATGATTGAGTTTGAGGAAAACCCACATACATCGAGTATACAGGAATCCACTACATTCAATGTTAGCCATATATCGATAGTAAACATATTAAAATGAAATAAAATGCATCCCTATAAAATTATACCTGCTCAGGAGCTCATGAAAGACGATTTTTGATAGAAGCACTTATTTTTGTGAGCAAATGATGGACATGTTGGATAACAATATTGTAACAAATTAAAGAATTAACTATCTTGATCAAATTTATTTTTAACAATATTTCACTATCACAACTAATTTATATACAACACTTAGTAACTAACGCTTAATTTATCTTCACAGTTTGATAACCGCTTTATTCGCTCTCTAGATACAGACTACTCCCTCTAGGGATGGGAGGCC